TCAGTATTTGCCATTTGGTCACTTCATCGAGTACGAAAGGCTGGGAGCGTTTCGTGGAGACGTTTTTTCACACTGAATAATAGTCATCAAAAATGATTAATAAAAAACCTTAATAAAATTACGTTGATCTGTTTGTTGTTCCAGTTCTTCTGCAATTTCTTTGTTTTGATCTGATAAGCTTATGTTTCTTTTTCTCAGCTCCTCCAGAAGTTTTTTCTTCTCTTCAACCTTTAATTTTGCAATTAGTGAAACTGCGAAGAATTACGGATTCTGCTAAATGACACTTCAAGCTGTTCAGCATCAACTTAGGCTAAGATCAGTTATAATTAGTGACATTTACTGTAATTATTTGTCATATATTGAGTTTCTGTTAACCATATGGCTATCACATGAGCACTTTCTGGAGCAGGTTGACATGAAATTGAGCAACCAACCGACCTCTTTATAGAGTTGAGCATTGAGACGACCCTCAACAGGTAGAGTTCCACGAATCTCTGAATCACCGATGTGAACGAACAGATCGGTGGTCTTTGAGGCTTCTGAGGCTGCTTGCTCATTCTTCTTACTTCCGAAATTCATCTGTAATTTTGATCTATGCTCACGATCACTTCTTGTTGGTTCGCTTCATTTCTAAATTTGCAATGCCACTAAACACTTATCACATCAGCGCCGCAATAAATTTGATCCGGAATCGATCAGAGNTAAATTTGCAATGCCACTAAACACTTATCACATCAGCGCCGCAATAAATTTGATCCGGAATCGATCAGAGGAGCCAAAAATGAAGGATGGCAAAGAAGTGAAGCTATTAGCATGATGCAATTCAAGGAAGGCACTAACAGCGTGTCAGAAACGATAAGTGGACGACTAAATCACCATCAGAAGGTGAATCATGTGAAGCGGAAAATAATATTGGCAAGCAAAAATTTCCGTGTGCTTTTCAGCCAGCAAATATTTTCGTGGTTGTTAAGGTGTGGCTTGAAAATGTGAATGGAGTCACGTCAGTCAGCGAAATTGCACTGTTCACATGGTTTCATAAGTCAGCAGCACCACAATGAATCATTGTTGCTATGCATTAACGAATCCATTTTCCATGTTATCATGTAAACAAATGCAAACAAATAAATTTATTGCATCCAAGAGATTTCTGGATGAATTCTATACATCGTTTCATAATTGTTGAATTGGTTTGAGTCGTTTCAAATTCTCGCTATGTTGTAGAAATTATCTCATTGTCGGTGCTCAACAGATCATTTGCTTTAGCATGAACCAATTTGAATTATGAGAGCAATAATCATTTGTTTTTATGGTTCAGTGGTAATGATAAGCTTTTTACTTCACAGCACTAATTGTAATTGAGAAGAAACATTGACAATGGAATGTGCTGCACAAACGGATTGAAGGAATTGTTTTAATCTCTTGAATTGAGTTCTTTTTCTTATGTGTGATGTGAGGAGCTGTTAACGTTTCGAAAGGAAGTTGCAGATGGAATGCTTTTTTGGAATCTTACTGACGTATACAATATCGTTGCGACAACAAAAAGTAATTTCGAAGCATTGTTCATTTATTCCTCACATAGCATTGCCAGTGCATCACAATCATTCATCAGTGATAAAAGGATTATCAATATCAAGTTCAGCAATTGACGGTGCCACTATGTCTTGAATGCCACACGACGATGGACAAAAATCACGGGGCTCTCCAGCATCACCTGCTTCTCCTCTTGGACCTGCGAAGCCAGGTTCACCTCGTTTACCTGGTGGGCCAAGAGGACCCTAAAATCGGTTATATATGAGACAAGATAGTCTGGTGA